TCCAAGGTCCATTAATAAACAATTCTTTAATAATCGACTTTTCTATTTTCTTTTTACAATGTAGATTGTAAACATCGCGAAGATTGTGCATTGAACTAATTTCATATATTGACTGAAAATCTTTTTCATTACCTACGTCACCATACTCTTCGGCCTTTTATATTTAACCCAAGTGGGATTACGTACCAATCAAATGCATTGCTCATAGTAACTGTAAATTTTAACTTTGAAATTATGTATGATTAAGATTATCTCAAAATTTTTAGGATGGTAATAATGTTCGCATTAAAAAGACAATTACATTTATCATTGAAAAATAATGTCCCGCTTCAAAACTTCATTTCAATACGAAATAAAAATATTGTCACAACCTGCCGACATTTACAAGGACATTCTCGAAACAAGGTAAATTTTCTTGTTAGAATTTATGTGCTTTTGTAAAATTTGTAGGTAACATTTTTTTTTTATCCAATCAGTCTTTAGCTTCCAAAAGTAAGTCAATCGAAAAGCAAACAGAATCCGAGTCAGAACAAACTAAAAGCGTACGTTAAGTAACTCATTATTATTTTTTTTTTTTCGCATTTAAACATTTATTCAACTTATTTTAAAACTATACAGAAATATTTCAATTATCGTTCAAATATAATTAAAGAACTTCGCCGTACAAAAGAACCAAATCCATATCCGCATAAATTCAATGTCGATATCACTATTCCACAATTTAATCAAAAATATTCACATATAGAAGCCGGGCAAATAAATACCGAAGAAATTGTAAGAATAGCTGGTCGTATTCATAATCAAAGATCTTCTGGTAGAAATTTGATTTTCTATGATTTATATGGTGAAGGAACTAAAATACAAATTAATGCTCGGGCGCAGTAAATGTTATTACCAGTTAATTAATTAGCATATATAATATAATATATATTTTTTTAATAACAGTAATGATTGAAATGTTAAAGTTACATTCATCTATCTATCTATTTTTAGAGATTCAGAACGTGATTTTCTAAAAACTCATGAACACATTCGAAGAGGAGATATTGTCGGAGTCGTAGGAACTCCGGGAAGGACGAAGCTAGGAGAATTATCAATATACCCCAAAGATCTTATATTATTATCACCATGTTTACATCAATTGCCTACTCCACATGAAGGACTCAAAGATAATGAAACCCGATATCGTCAGAGATATCTTGATTTGATGATAAATAACGAAATACGAGAAAATTTCATATGTAAATCAAAAGTCATTAATTATCTTCGACGTTTCTTGGATGAACGAGGATTTTTGGAGGTTGAAACACCAATGATGAATCATGTTGCAGGTGGTGCATCAGCAAAACCATTTAAAACACATCATAGTCATCTTAAACGTGATCTGTATTTAAGAATTGCACCAGAATTATACCTAAAACAACTGGTTATAGGTGGATTAGAGAAGGTTTATGAAATTGGAAGACAGTTTCGTAATGAATCTATTGATATAACACATAATCCCGAATTTACTACGGCAGAATTCTATTTGGCTTATGCTGATATGTTTGATTTGATGCAAATGACTGAAGATTTATTGGGAAACCTAGTTAAGAGTTTAAAGGGAAATTATGTGGTGAATTATAATTTGAATGGTAATGAAATCGAAATTGATTTTACACCGCCATTCAAAAGAATTGATATTATCAAAACTTTGGAAAATAATTTGAATGTAAAGTTTCCCGATCCCGATCAATTACATACCGAAGAAACACATAAATTCTTATCTGATTTATGTGAGAAACATAAAGTTATTTGCAGACCACCAAAAACTAACTCTAAATTATTCGATAAGGTAGAAAAGATATATAAATATATAAAATATATATATTTATTTTTTTTAAGAAAATAGTTTTCGTCTCGTTATATACATTTATTAACTTTTTCTCCCATACTAAATAATAGTTGATCAAAAAGTTCGTTGAATCAGAATGTATATCACCAACCTTTATAACCGGCCACCCACAAATCTTATCTCCATTGGCAAAATCGCATCGTGAAATTACAGGATTATGTGAAAGATTTGAATTAATTGTTGGAACAAATGAAATTATTAACGCATATACTGAATTAAATGATCCGTTTGAACAAAAAGAAAGATTTGAAGAACAAAATCATCAAAGAGATATAGGTGATGATGAGGCCCAAATTGGTGATGATGCATTTTGTACAAGTTTAGAATATGGATTACCTCCTACGTAAGTTTTGGGGAAAATACGGAAAGAGAACCTTTATTATGATTAACTAAACATTTAATTATTTTGTAGGGCTGGATGGGGCTTGGGTATTGATAGGTTGACTATGATATTAACAAACAATTCTAGTATAAAAGAGGTAAGTCTCGTTTGATTTTAACTTTCACTTATACAAAAAGATTTTCTAAAAAGAATGCCTATAAATATTATTGTAGGTTTTATTATTTCCAACATTAAAACCTATTTAACAATGAACTTGTTTTTTAAAAAAAAATTATTTACATAATGAAGAACTATTACGATCCTATATTGCTTCATGTTGATAAACTATTTCGCGATTGAAGAAATAAAAAAGACTTACAATTGCAATTTCTTGAGCTTATATGCCATCAGAAATGTTGTATAAGCAGAATTAGCAGTAATGGTTTAGATGTGTTTTTTGTTTCTTTACTGAAGAGTCCCGAAATCCCTCTAAAAATATATTTAATTTATTTGACCACGAACTCTTTTCGCAATTTTGTTATCATCCAAGTTGACGTGGATTGCATGCTTAAAGAATTGCTTGCATTCAAAATCATTTCTGTATTAGTATTTTAAAGTTCGATCTTTTCCTGCTTTTTTCAATTTGAAATGCAAAGTATATTTTGGTCATCGAGTTCAAAATATTCATTAGGCTGTTGTATGACCTCTGAAATTACCTTGAAATGACATCGAAGTTCCTTGTATAAAAATAATAAAGTTTAAAAAGACGGAATTTCATATATTTATTAATATATATCTCTCTCTTAGACGTGAGAGTAGAAGAGCCTTTTTAAATTGACTTTTTGACTTCGTCAAAATTTAGCCGTTTGAGTCAGTGTTGGCAAATGACCTTGAAGTGACCTTAAAATGACCTAATCATGTGATGATTTTACTATGAAATCTATCACGCGATCATATACAAAGTGACCTAGGTCAAGGGAAATGACCTTGAAATTTGCCAACTCTGGTTTGAGTAGACTTCATATTCATTCATCTCGAATGGAGTCGCAGGGAACCAGTTCTGGTATCACGACTGAAAGAAAAGGTTGTATCTTGTTTAATTAGATGAATTATGATGAAACGGAGGAAGGGGCTGATAGTTAACAGCTAGAACAATCGATGCTTCAGACAGAGCAATGTTTGCAGATGCATTAGCGTCCCTTCCTCGTGTTGTGTAATTTAACTTCCTTGTCAGACACTAAGGATGAATGCATTCTACTGCGCTATGGAGGCGAACAGTCCACTCTTTTTCATTAATGTTCCTGCAGAACAAGTTTGAAAAAGCAATATGGGCAAATCTTCGAGATATTGAACTCATTAGTTATGCCAATATGTCCATAAACATGATATTGTTCCCAAATTTTCTCATACCTCTTCGACTATGTTCTTTAATAGTGTTATTAATCCCTATTCAATATCCAATACAGTGGATTAGAGTAGGTTTTGGTGAATTGGAAAGAAGCTGAATCTGGGTATAAATGTGTTTTCGTTCCTGCACTGTTATTTTACCATAAGCTCTTTTAGTTCAAATCTCTTGCTTTCAGTTTTCCCTTGCTTATTTCTTCTGTTAAATCTCCTTATCTATACCTCGCTTTTGTCATTGTTCTCATTTTTTTTGATGCTTCTTTAAAAAGGTTACTTCATTAATAAGACCAGCAGTGATTTTGTAAGATTTTGGAAGGAGTTCAACATTAAAATTATAGGGTGTAAGGTCTGGATTATTCTCATCATCTTCAGAGCTATCTTCATAAAAAGCAAAGATATTAAAATGGTTTATATCAGCAAGGATCATTTTGAGAAATCTTGATAAGATGATAGATATTATGACAGTATCCGGATCTGTTCTCAAAAAATAAATTTTTGCTGTAAAGAAAAATATCTCATTATTTTCAGAAGTAAATCCATCTATTTTTAGGATAGACAAAGAGTTAAAAATTAATCAAAGTAATAAAGAAACAATAATAATACTATATAAATTTCACCTTTTCTATATAGTCCTCTTTTTTAACCTTATTTAATAATTTTTTTAACTGAATTTGTACTTTCAGAAGCTATAGTACATATAGTACTTGCAAAATTCAAAGCCTTATTCAAAGAATGCAATAAACTTCTTGCAGTTGAAAGGTCTTTTTCTAATTGATAAGTTTAAGGCATTTAATTGATTTCTTTTTAGCTTATTGTAGTTATCATAACCTAGATCCTATTGTGACCTTCTGATTTTTTGACTGATCTCCATTTACTGCAGCTCAAGCCATAAAATCTCTTTATGTAAAGGTGTTAATACTTCAATCAAATCCTTAACTTTTTTCATATAAGTTTCAGCTAGTGCTTTCATGTTTGAACGATCCAAAGTTAGAGTCATTAGTATTGGCTTTGTGATATTAGTTTTATTCTTCTCTTTTTTCTTACTTCAAAATATGATTTGATAAATTCTTTATCAGGCTTTGCCTTTTTTAGCAAGCGTATTATTTATTTATTAATAAAAATCACCTTTCAATCAAATTGAAGACCTTGGAAATCCATGAGTAATTATACTTTATTTGTGTTAAAAAATGCTTTGAAAATAGCAGATTTATTCTTTTTTACTTAATTGAAATTAGTAATCCAGTTTATATTATCAACTAGTATATCATATTATTTATGAAATGCATTATACTCTAACTGCCATAAGATATAACATGTAAATATTATTTGATATGATTGATAATTTACAAATAAGAGAGAAAAAACCAGTAATAGTTGCAATAACATTAGCTAGTACAATTAGTGACACATGTATTAGAATGTAAAGTTTTGGAAATTTATTATCATCTGTGTACTATTAAACAAATAGCCTAATAAAATTAATAATCTTTACTACTACTAACTTTTCTTTTTCCATAAATATTATTCCTTTGAATGTAACATGTTATATGTCATCACATGTGATAACTCGATAAATTTTTTCTAATTTAATAAGCATTCTCATAATGAACAAAAGAGCCTAAATTGCTTTCGCTAACATTTTTGGGATAACCTTAGATTCAGTAATCTCTTCTTTTTCCTTTACATCTTCTAAACTATTATTTTTACTTGCTATATAAGTGGCTATATCTAGTTTATCCAACTCGCCTAGCTCATTTTCATTCTAAATTTCCTTGTCTTAGGTTCCAATAAGTACGTCTAAGAATTCTTGTAGTTTTTCTACAATCTTTTGCACAACAAAGATTAGTTGATCATTGATAACAGTCACTTTAAGTTCATTCATAAGGCGTAATATTTAACGCTAGTTTCATTGTTATTTGATTAAATTTTCCTGTTTGTTTTATCTACTTTGCTTTGACTTTCGTTATTTGATTTCTTTATAGCGTATCATTTTGATTGAAGCAAGATAAACACGAAGGAGAGTTCAGATAACATTGCATAAACTCTTGTTGTATACATTTTCTTTATACATATTTGTGATTGATGTATAAACTTTTTTCAGGGATGCTTAGCAGATTGCATGATAACTTATTGTATCAGCAATAGATAAAAGCACTTTTTTTTTCAAATTAATCTCATTTCTAATTTGTGTAAAGAATCTAGAGAAAATAAAAATGAAAATTATAATATAAACTAATAACAATTATTATATATATTTACCACACATTATAAATATTAAAAATAAGTTTGAATAATATTTTTATTTACTTTGATTCTTTTCACACTATGTTTCTAATATAACCATAAATAGGTTTTGAAATGAGAAAAAGAGAAGAACCTAGCATTTATCAAGATTAACATATTTTTTAGAATTAGAGCTATATTTACTTTTGATATGTGTTTTCTAAAATTATAATCTTGAGGGAAAACTTCTAATAAATCGAGATATCTAATATCTGAATTATTCATAAATGAAGAGAAATGACTTGATATGTTTAGTAAAAGTTAATATAATGATAAAATATCACAATATTCTAAAATAATACAAATTTACCATGTTTGTGACTTCTTGAATAATATTATAAAAAGAATCAAATATTTGATGATTAAACTTTTGTTCAAAAACTAATTGCTATTCTATATCATTCAAGCTAAGTTTATTTTGAATAATCTACTGTAGAATAATCATAATAATACAGTAGTTATTACTCATTATATCTTCATCTTCATCAACTTGCTTAATTAAGATCATTCTAAAAATCACATAAAAGAGTAATAGCCAAAGTTAAAATAGCCATTAAATATTCTTTTATTACTTCTTTTCATATTAACATTATGTTATTCTCCCAAGACAATTAGATAAATCAAGTATATTCATGTTACTTATGTTAATCATTTTATTAAATTTCTCTAATACTTTTTTTAAGATAACCTCAAGATAGTGATTTCTGATTGATAGTTTTTTCTTAAAATTTTTCAGTTTTTATGGTATAGATTTTTGCTTTACTTCTTTCTCAAAATCATTTTAGAGACAATTTTTCTTATAAAGCAAAAAGTAAGCAAACCATCCAAAATAAATAATAATAATAATTTATACTTACATTATTAATCGCAGTAAATTGTTTAGTATTTCATTACTGATTAATGCATAATCTACATACATCTTCTGTTTAGGAGCTATTCCTTAAGGCCTTTTAATTGTAGGTAAAGAGGCTATTAAATTGATCATGTTTATTTTTACTGTAGGTATTCGCTTAATCTAATCTTGAGTTAGTCTAAAAGGATATTATGCTCTTTTTGATAATATAGAATCTTGATATATCAGGAGTGCAACTGTGTGACAATTTCTGCCTCTATTTGGGTTAATTTTAACTGATTTTCTATGTGTAGAGAAAATAATAATCTGAATTGTGTAAAGATGAGTGACAATAACAAGTAGAAGCGATCCTTTCAGGATAATATTTCTATTGAACATATAAAGATGAAATTTGTGAAGAGTTTTATTATTAAAATATTATGCAATTTACTGTCCTAGGATAGGTTTTCTTCTTGCAATAAATTTGGATATTACCAGACCTCAGAAATACAGCTATCTTATTATTTTTTGAAGGTTTTCATTTGTAAAAGGTTTGTTAAAGCCAAATTGAATGTTTTGTTCACCCTTGATACAAATTTACTATTAAGAGCTTCTGAAAATATAAGGCTCTGGTAATCCTCTTCACAAAATCTAAGGCTGACAGGAATCTACTGTAATAGAACTATTGTAATGTAATTGATCTACATAATATATTATAAATAGTTACATAAGTGATGTAATTAACAG